AACGGTTTGGTTTCTTACAAACGTTATTAACGTGGCTATAATTCTATTTATTGATACACTTATTATTCATAAGTGTGCAGTGTCATAACTCATGGGCGTCAGTTTGGTTTGAAATGTGCTGGGGACAGAGACCCATTCGAAAGTGCATTTTCAAAAGTGCTGGGTACAATGACACATTCATTTTTTTTTTCTCTTTCGCGCAGGTCATGTTTTGAAAGACGATGTCCTGTAGCTTACTGATGTAAATAAATAAAAATGTATACAAAGATGTGATGATGTCCGACCAAAAATGTGATGGGTGGGGGGGTTAAATAGTACTTTGGGTTTAATTGGTCGTACAATGAGATCTAATATATGTTTAGTGTCATAGATCAGCCTAATGTATGTATGTACTACAATGGTCGAGTGGCAGAATTTTTCCCAAGCGTGTCGGAGGTTCTCGGTTCTAATCCACACGCCACTCGTATAGTTTTTTTTTTCCTCATCAAAACCGATAATGTTTATCAGTGGTTGTATATCAAGCAGGGACACTTTGTTTGCATTTTGTTTTGCGATTTCACCGGAACAAATAGAGAATCTCCGCAACGGATTGAAGCGCGCGTCCGAGTGAAGACATTGCGGCGCATGCGCGAGCCACAACAGAACACTATCCGCGGCTCTGATCGCAGAGGCAACGAGCACATGATCACTTGATTAAAAAAGCAACACATTTCAGCGCTAGATCGCCTCTTATTTAACTAACGAACGAAACGAATGCTCTGCTAGTTAACTGGAGATGTTTTACTTGTATTGGTACATCCGAGATGTTTCAAAAGTGGTGGGGACAAAATCGACCCTGGCAAAATGTGGTGGGGACATGTCCCACCCGTCCCTCCCCGTAAATGACGCCTATGTCATAACTACATCTCTGACGTTTATAACAAACCAAACCGTTTGAAAATCGGTAGAAAATTGAGCAAGTTATGGTTATTTAAAATACATGCACCATTAAAACACAATGTTACGAGTGAGCGAGCTGCCTGTGACAAGATGGCCGCCAGGTGCGGACGTCGACCTCTATTGGCCAGCAGTGCGGACGAGACTTCTAGCCTTTATTATATGGATATGGTATGAGGCATCTATGTATGATATCTATGGCTAGGGGGCCATCTTTGCGAACCCATGCGGATTCACTAAGATCGCCCCATCGGCGAACCATTTAACAACTCTCTGTGGTTTTTACCTGATCTCTTATTAGTTTTCTAAAATTTTTGACGTTTTAATGAGACATTAGTATAATTCAAGTGAATAATAGTAGTTATTAGTCCCTTATTGGCCTGTTTAGCTGACTCATCCATGAAACAAACAAAACAAGCCCTGAAAATTGATAATATCTTGATACACTTGATTTAATCCCTAGATGATTCATTGCATTGGATATATTTTACTTTCAATAAAACATTTTTTAAATGGGTGTGTAAAATGTGTTTTATGCATGTTTGGCCTGAGTTTTTGTTGTATTTACACTGTTTTGACCAACAGGCGTCACTGGTCAGCGTTCGAACGCTTCAAAACAGTTAATCATTTTGCAAAGCAATTGGTTCGAAGCTTTGAAAAGCTTCGTTTCTACCACCGCTCACACTTGTTTCATGAAGCTTTGAAACCTTTACAAGCCTTTTATTTCGAATCAGTGGTTTGGAGTATGTTTGGTTTGGTATTTGCTAAAGTCACGTGATTACAGTAAACGAGGCTTCGTTACGTCATAACGTTTCACAATTTCAATGGTTCACCGCTAGGGGCGATGATCTTTGTAAGACCCCATAGACTGTGGTGTAAGCCCATGAACCTATGGTTTTTATAATATTATAAGTTTGTATATATTTAATGTATACATATTTGTTTACTAAAATGGAGGAGTTGTAGTTAACAGTCTTTTATTGGCCTGATTAACCAAGCTCTTCATAAAAATAAAATAAAACCCCTACAAATTCAATAAATAACACATATTGTAAAGCGACTTCATTTTTAATGGTATTAGATGATTTGCTAATTGTATTTAATAGATTACACTTTCAATAAAACATTTGCAATTGCTTTGTAAAAAGTGTTTTGCTTGTTTGAGCTCATATACCCAAATGATGGCATGCGCATGCGCTTTACCAAACACTTTCAGCTGATGTATTTCCTGGGCAGAACTGCATGGCGCCCGCCATGTGTCTGACCAGGAGAAGGCAGAGATGATAGCGAAGGCATTTACTCTTATTCATAGTTCTGAAAACTTAACGGAGGAGGGCAAGAGAGGAAGGACAATGACAAGAATAGCATATGGAGACTTACTTGAAAGAAGGGAGGATTGTAACAGTATAATGGATGCGCCAATTACAATGGAAGAAATGATAAGAGCAATAAAAGGATCTGGATTAACATCTCCGGGTAAAGATGATATCTGTTATGTAATGTTAGAACATCTAGGTGTTTTAGCATCTACAAAGTTGCTGGGGTTTTATAATAAAGTATGGGATTTAGGGAAATTACCAGTTGGGTGGAAAGAAGCAATAATTATTCCTATCAGGAAACCAGGGAAAGATTTGTCAAGCCCAACGAATTATAGACCAATAGCACTTACGTCACATGTAGGAAAGATAATGGAAAGGATCATTACAGATTATCCTTTTATATGGAAAAAAGAGGAATTTTATCACCTCATCAGAGTGGATTTAGGAGGGGTAGAGGAACAATGGATTCGGTTATGTGTTTGGAAACCGAGATAAGGAAAGCTCAAGTTAATAAAGAATCCGTAATGGCAGTGTTCTTTGATGTAGAAAAAGCCTACGATATGGTTTGGAAGGAGGGAGTAATGATAAAATTAAAAATGATAGGAATAGCAGGTAGGACATACAATTGGATTAAGGGATTTTTGGATGAGAGAAGTATACAAGTAAGAATTGGGACAGCTGTTTCAAGAAGGTACATGGTAGAGAATGGTACTCCTCAGGGCAGTGTTATTAGCCCTATACTCTTTTCCATAATGATTAATGACGTTTTTTCACAAGTGCAGGGGGATATCGGACAGTCACTGTTTGCTGATGATGGAGCCTTATGGAAAAGGGGAAGGAACATCAATCATATTAAAGGTAAAATACAAGAGGCAATTAATGTGGTGGAGAGATGGTCAATTGCATGGGGATTTAAGTTTGCAATTGGGAAGACCAAGACTGTAATTTTCACTAGAAAGAGAGGGGTTGAGGCTCAGGTAAAGATGTATGGACAAGATATAGAGAGAGTAAAAGTTTTTAGGTTTTTGGGTATGTGGTTTGATGATAAGCTAACATGGAATGAACATATTAGAAGGATAAATACCAAGTGTAAAAAGATACTAAATGTGATGAGATGCATAACAGGGTCAGAATGGGGGGCAAGTAGGGCTGCTAGTAAAAATGTGTATATAGCATTGATAAGATCAGTATTAGATTATGGGAGCATTGCTTATGGATCGGCAGCTAAAACATCATTAAAGAAGTTTGGATGTGGTGCAAGCTCAAGCTCTAAGAATATGCTGTGGGGCTGTGAAAACAACTCCTGTGGCTGCTCTTCAGGTTGAGATGGGGGAAATGCCGTTGCACATTAGACGTAAGCAATTAATGATGCACTACTGGATAAATTTACAAGGGCATTCTGGGGATCGACATCCTACAACTAAGATACTTCTCCCATGTTGGGAGAGTGAAAGAGCTAAACGGGGATGCTTTGCATGGAGATGTGAGGAAATAGCTGAAGACATGACATTAAATCAAGGAGGATATATCCCGACAGTGCCATTATCAGTGACACCACCTTGGTTGTTTCCTCCAGTGTCAGTAGATTTATATTTCCTGAAAAAATGCAGGGTCAAAAAGGATTTGGAAATATGGCAGTACTGGTGGAAGATAGACTACAAACACTATATCAAACATATGTTCAAATATATACAGATGGATCCAAGGATCCTAATACAGGGAAAGCAGGTTTTGGTTTTAGTATTCCTACATTGCATGTTTCTGGTAAAAGAAGGACTTCAGATCATCTATCAGTCTATACAGTAGAGATGTTGGCAATTGTAATAGCATTACAGAAGGTAGAAGAATTACAAATTAAAAAAGTTATTTTATGTACAGACTCATGCTCTGCATTAATGTCACTGCAGTCATTTACATCTAACAGCAGGCAAGATATAGTAAATGAGATCTATGAAACATTGTACAGAATTAAAAATATGAATATGCAGGTAACATTTATGTGGATTCCAGCACACAGAGGGATTAAGGGAAATGAAGATGTGGATGCATTAGCAAAACAGGCTCTGATGCAGGAGGAGGTAATGTGCGTTTCCCTCAGTAAGTCTGAAGCCAAAGGAATAATTAAACGAAACATCATTAAGGAGTGGCAGAACAGTTGGGATACAGGAAACACAGGGCGACATCTCTATTTATTACAGCAAGATGTGGGTACAGGAAGGATAACCAGAAGAAACAATAAAGAGGAGCATATCTTGACAAGGCTAAGGGTAGGACATACTAGGCTTAATAAAACTCTGTACTTAATAAATAAACACCCTTCAGGAGTGTGTGAACATTGCCAAATAGAGGAGTCAGTTGAGCATGTAATTCTTCACTGTCAAAAATTCTCTCGAGAGCGGGAAGTATTAGGCTAAGGGAGGAAAGTAGAAAGTTGGAACAGGAAGAATTAAGTTTAAAAAATGTTTTTGATATTGAAGTAGGGAAGTTTTTCTGTTATTTGAGAGAAACTGGATTGATAAATAGAATTTAGGGGCAGGTAAAATTAATAGTACCTATTATTACTGTTATTAGGTTTATTTATTTTTTTATTTATTTTTTTTAAGGGAAGGAAAGCTCTGGCTCACACTCCAACATAGTAGGTGGCGGTAATGCACCATAATGCTGGTTGCCACCCGCCATTAAACATTACAAAGAAGAAGAAGAAGGCGCCCGCCATATTAACACATGTGGATATGTTTGGCATAGAGGCAAACGTTGTCTGATACATGATTTTCTTTTTTGATCAGTACTTTTGTGTTCAGGCTTAATCTTTTACAGCCCGTGCCTCATTAGCGCCCGTTAGAGGTGCACAAATAATCGATATCACGCAAGTCTACGAATACGACAATTCTCATGTCATATATAGTATTAAATTAAATAACCATGGCTTTAAGAAGCGAAGACGTCAGAACGCAAATTGAGTCGCCGAACAAGCAGCAGATCGTACCGGTTGTGGCGCCCGTTAGCGATTTGATCGACTTGGACCCGCACTCAGAGCTGTTCCTCGAAACTCCTCCGCCTGATGTTGTAAGTTCTATCAATGCTTGCTTTGAGCAGTTCACCAGCACCTTTGAGAGGAGACGAGATGCTTCAGTCCACAGATCTTCTTCGGACAGGTAAAAATGGACATGGAAACTAGACTGCTGTGTTGCTTCTCATCCTCTTTTAAAGTCTCCCTGGCCTGCAGTAAATAATTTTGATTCCTTAACTCATCTTTGATCATCAAAACGACATATTTAAACCTTTTTTTCCCCTGTGAAAATTATTTATTCGTGCCTTAAAATTGCTTCATTTAGTTTACGCGGATTAAAGGAATAGTTCACTTTATGAAAGACAGTTGATGGTAGCTATTGGCTTCTATACCATAGTACCAATGAAGTAAAATTTCCAAACACTTCTAAGCTCAAAATTAATCACATGACTGGACAAAGCTGAAAATTCCTGTTACAATGATACCTGGATTGTGATAATCAGTTGAGGATTGAGAAAGTTATGATATTTATAACATCTGGGATTATATTAAAATATTATACATTATTTACAATAGAAGGCATGTGACCGAAAATTCCTATTATTCACATGTTTTTGCTTGTAACTTCATCATTTTATCAGATATTTGCATGAAATTTGAACAGAAGGTAGATTTTAGTTAATTCTTTCAAATGAAATCATGAACATTTACTTTAGTTGGAATGGGCATCAGACCCATGGTATTTCATTGTGAAAACAATTATAATTAATAAGCGTTCATTCATATTCATACACGTTTATTTTCAAAATACAAGCGAAGACAACTTTATACACCACTATTAATTGTGAATTCATATTTATACATGCTTAAAATGCTTAAAATGCAAATATACATTCATATTCATTCTTTTTTTTTTCTAACAATGAATGATCGGTACGAAAAATATACAAGCTATCTGTGTGATTGAGCAGACTTGAGTTGATAACTTTGACAGGCTTATTGTACAACCAAGTCATCCAAGATGACATCTGCTGCCATTGCATAGATGGACACATCAGTGTCATGTGCATCAAATTCATACCCCTCCCCGCTCATGTCCCAATAGCCAACAGTGTATTTCTTTTTTTTAGCCTGGGAAGTTTCAATTTTCCCATTGAAAATTACCCTGTTGCCACCCAAATCCCACGCATGACATATAAATGCTCCCACCCCTCTGCCACCCAACAACTCCTTGATCCAGCTCATTTTTTCTTCTGGGAGTTCTGGAAACGCTTCCTCGATCTTCTCTGCACCTAATTCTTCAATCTTTTTCTCTAACACTTTCCGTTCTTGTTCACTTCTCTTCCTTTCTTTTGTGGCTTGTCGTTTGTGCAATTCCTCCTTGCTTCATCCTCCTCTTTCTTCTTTGTATTACTCCCAGCTTCACTGCTTTCCTGATGACCAGCTCTTGTTTTTCCTTGTCTAAACTGTCCAAATAGTCCACAGTGTTGTTTTTCCGTGCTCTCATTTTACAGGTCAAGTAGCAGATTGTGGCATTTGGAGCTTTCTTCTTCAACGCACTAAACATCCCCATCAGCTCTTCAGCATCCATGTTATGTGATCTTGCTGAGGTTGTCTCTTGTTTTAGTTTCTCTGTCACTGTCCATGTATCAACAAAGTATTGTTGATATTGCCTTTCAAGTACTGAAATGACCGGTCTCAGACAGCTTTCCATCATTTGAGTGAACATGACTGTGTCTTTTGGTGGTTGTTGCAATTTCTCAAGGATTTTGTCTGAAGCATTCAGCTGATTTCCAAAGAGGTCTGTTGTGCGAGTCAGGAATTCAACAGGTGAGTGTAGTTGATCTTTAAGGTTCTGCACGTTCTCTTTGATAATTTCAATACATTTAATGTAATCAGTTTGGTCATCTGCACCAGTGTAGAATTTGGTCATCCAGGGTCCAGTCAGTAATTTCCCAAGCAAACCCAGAACTTGCATTTCAACCTGTCCTGCTGCAGAGTTGAAGTCTTCCAGAATGCTAGCACGCAGGCCTCCACAGGATGTTCCTCCACAGAGATATGCCTTTAGTGCAGCATGATGACTTGAGAATATCCCACATATATGGAAAAGAATGTGCAGTCGATTACCTCTGTAGCGTGGTATGAGGCCGAGAGGGAGATTGTTGTGATTCAGAAAGATCTTAAAGCCACGAGGGTCACCTTTGCCATCCATGTACCTCATCTTATTCATCTGAACCACAATGTTGGCCCCAATGCAGTCTTTCCCTTTGATTTTCCCAGTAATCCCCATGGATTTCTCTATCTCCTTCAGAGCACTCTTTGTCTTTGAAGCTATTGTTTTCAGAGGATGAAGGTTGCAATTCAACTAATTTAGGGCCTTGTTCCAAGACGCACAGACTAAACGAATGGCCGCATGATTGGCAGCACAGCGGTCAGCTGTGAGCGTGATATATTCCCTATCATTTTTTGAAGAATGTTTTCGTAGTCTGCCTCAAAAAAATGACAGTAGACAATAGCAAGGTTACTGATGGAGTCACAAACATGGATCTGGTAATCCTCAGCAGAGCCTCCTGGAAGTTCATCTACAGCAACAACATAACAGTTCTCTTTGGTGGTGAAATGTATGCTGTTCAAGTGGATTCCCTCCTGTGTGGTTGCATCAAAACCCAGGGTAGAGTGTGTGTTCGCTAAAAGTGCTTCAGCAGTCTGGAGGTCACTTATTGCTCCCAATTCTCTGGTCATGGCTTCCACAGTAGCCCTTTTTGGCACATCACTTAAACTAATGGTGAAACTAATGTGGATGTTGGCAGTGGGCACATGATTGGATATCGCATCAAACACCATCAATCTCATTTCACTTGAGTATGACTTCGCGTCTGTTTTTGTAAGCTTTTTTTCACTTTCCAAATCCTGGATTTTTTCTCCCAAAAGAAGGTCTTCAACCTGAAGATCATGAATCTCACTGTTCATTGAATTATTTTTTTCTTCGAACTCGCAACATCTTTGTTCCATATCATGAACAGAATTTAATTTGACCTCTCGCCTCATGTGTGTAAGGGATTTCGTCAGGCGCATATTACTTCTTGCTTTCACTTTGTATTGTTTTTTTAATTTAGCGATTGTTTCAGACTCATGCGATTTCAACAGATTTTTCAAGTCGGATATTTGCTTTTCTTTCCTTTTCAGTTTCTGATTAAGTATCCTTATTGCTCCCTCCTTTTTCTGCTGTGCTATGAGTGTCTTAATTGCCAGGTACTTTCTTCTCTGCATCTGCAGATGTTTCTGCCTCATGTTTTTCAGAGACTCCTTATATCTGGTACAAGAAGGACAATTGGCTCTAGCAACCTGTCTTGTCTTCAAAGGACTAAGTTTCGGAACTTGTTCAGCAGAAGGAAACTTTAAGTGGGAAACTGTGGTGGAAGTGGAAATTCCACAAAATCTTCGGCTACATACCCCTTCAAACTGACTGAATTCTTGCTCATTAGTTAGCTTTCTGTATTTTGTTAAAGTTTTTTCAACAAGTAGCTTCACTTTATTTTTTGCCTGCCCTTTAGTCATTTCTGGTATATATCTTATTATTTCTCTTGCAGTTGCAGCTCTGCTGGATTCAGCTGTGACATAAAGAAAGAGAATATGTCCATTTTGGATCAAATGAGGAGATGGTAGATCACTGTACTTGTCCAGGAGGTGCTGTCTGGCTAGACCTGGTTGTGTGTTGGGCCCCTTTCTTCTTTTCATAATTAGCTGTAAAGACATAACATCAAATATTAGTCTACATAATCTACAAGATTCAGGGAAATTTGACATAAATGGACTAATCAACATGGCTTGTGTTGCAGGATACTTCGAATAAACTAGTAAACGAATTTAATACAGACTACAAAAAAGTATAACTTTTTGATCACATTCATAGATCCAATTAAATGCCACTTTTAAATTATGTACACAGTTATGAATTGTGAGGATTTGCTGTATTCAGCTAGAAGTGATTCCCAACCAGGGGTACACGCATTGTTACGTGGAAACATTTAATAATTTATTGGAAGTACTGAGAATATTTACTTATCATCTTGGAAAATGCAAGAAGAAAACTCCTGAGAATTAAATGTTCAAATTAAGGAGATTAAATAAAACGATTTTCATTTAATAATCAGTCATGTTCTACTTTTGGAGAATCAACACATATAAGTGAGGGGGTACTAACTCATGGTAGGACAAAAGGCTCAGGGGGAAAAAAAGGAAAAAAGTATTTAACAAGACAAAAAAGGTTGTTGTTAGCCTATTATTTTAAACAGAGTTACAGGCTAGTCTTCAGTAAGTAATGTAATTCGAAGTGATGTAAACTAATGTTACTATTATATGTCAGGAAAACCATGAGATGCATATTAAACTACATAGCATCAGTAATAATTTCAAGGAAAACACGGTGAGAATGAGTTAAAATCGAGACGATGTTTTTTTTTTTTTTTTTTTTTAGAACGACGCCTACAGTTCATCTGACAGGACGTTCGCTAATCTACCCACCACAAATGTGACTAACAAATTTCCGCGATTTAGTTAAATATATTCTCCTCCATGGATTTCGATGAAACTTCGTCAGTACCAAGATAAAAGGTATATATTCATGTCCACCTACCTTTCATTAGTGTCCAAAACTTAGATGAATCCCACCGACCGGTTGAAAGCCACTCAAATTTTCCAGGAGTTGTGGTGAACTGAAAACACCTCAGGGCTGAAAGCTCGAAATGTCTAATGCTTCCGGGGGTTGTACTCGTCGTAGTTACTGTCGTATTCAGGAAAAACATACTCCCTCCAGGCGGCGAGGAGTGGATATTGCATGACACACATATTAACAGTACCACGCAGTTTGGAACAAATTATTGAGACCGAATGTTCGCCGCGCGCGGTTGCTATGTCAACATACCTAAATGAAGTCAATGGCTGCCTACCGTCAACTGTCTGGTTACCAACAACATTCTTCAAAATATCTTATGCTGCGTCTCAATTCGCCTACTCATACTACGCCCTAAAATTATGTAGGCCTACTTTTTTTGTGAAGAGAAAGTACATAATTTTGAGTGTGTATTAGAAGAGTACCGTTAGACACACTTTGGGACATGCTCTCTCTCGCGTCATAAAATAGCG